AGCACCACTGCTGCCCCAAAGGGCTCAGGAAATCAGCCAGGTGCTTCCAGAAAGAGACAGAAGTGCCCAGTCCATGCCACAGTAAGAGCCTCACAGAGGCCGAGTTCCCAGTGCTTCACAAATGCCCTGCTGGACGAGGCTTTCCTGGGCCAAGGCACCGGACAGTGGTCCCTGTGCCACCACCACACCAGGCTGAGTCTGCCTGGCCAGGAATCCTGGCAGCCGCTGGAGGATTTCCAGTCATCACAGCTGGAGAGAGGACAGGCCAGCAGATCAAGGGAAGTGGCCAGGGCTGCTATGAGACCACTGTCCTGTGAGGCTGGGGCAGCACTGCCCAGCCAAGACTCTCCTCCCCGGTGTCAGCCGAGCCCACATGGTGGACCTGAGTCCTGGGCTTTGAAGGAGCCCTTTGTGCCGGCGGCAGAGAGGATTCCTCTCACCTACGGGTGTCTCACAGCAAACCTTACACAGCAAACATCAGCGTCAGTGTACAATCAGGCACGCGCACATACACTTATAGAGCACACCTAGGCCAAAGAAAGGACAAGTGTGCAAAGCTGATTCGTGCTAGGGAACCACCTGCCCTGCAGGCCAGGCCTTGGGCTCCGTAAAGGAGAGGCGTGGTTAGAATCCTCTCTGAAGCAAAACTCGAGGGGGACTTCCACAGCCCAGTAGTTTGCAGTGCAGGCTCCAAACTCTGCGTTGCAGAACAGTGGCTGCGGCATTTCCGGGGGCCGAGGAAGAGCAGCGTGACGCCAGGCTAGCTCAGTGATGTTTGCCTTGCTCACAGCACCCCCAAAAAGATAAGAAATACCACATTAAAATAAAATGGATTTGGAGTAAATAAATAAATAAGCAAATAGTACACTATGCACCGGGGTGCTGGTGCACATCTGTAATCCCAGCCTGCGGAGACCCCCAAAAGTAAGTGTCCACTTTCTCTACCTATCACAAGGACAATCTCCGTCTAAACCCCAAATGGGTGACTTCTCCCTAGAACAAATCATTGAGGTAAAAAAAGCTGGAAGACAGAAAGGAGAGGAAGAAGAAGAGAAAGAAATGTGCAGTGGTCTGCAGAAGCCACGGGAGAGAGCTCCCGCTCATACCGCGGACCCCGCAGCTCTGGACGGAGCAGCAAGGCTCCCCGGACAGTGGCAGGCGCTGCCGCCATCCCCACGGGAAGTGGAGTCGAACAAGGACAAAGCGTCTCGGCCGCCCTGACAGAGGGTGCCACGGCAGAGCGGGGGTGGGGGAAAGGTGGGGGCGGCAAGGGGCCCGAGAGCCCCTGGGAGCCATCGCGCCTCCCTGGACCCGCCAGCTGCCCACTGTGGCCCCGGACAATCGGCGACTGTGCTACCCATGGGCTGAGAATAGATCTTTGTGCTCACAGAGAACAGCACGCTGTGCTCCGCGGTGCTACTCACTAAGCTGCATCAGCACAAAGGTCCCGAAGGCCCTGGTCCAAGATCGCACCAGCTGGACATGAAATAAGTTCCCACGTCCGCTGTTTCCACTTTTCTTAGCATTAATCGACTTAACAGGAGCCGTTTCAGCAACGTTTCTCAGTAAACGGACTGAACTCCTTGCACTGAAGAGACCCTGCTGCACTCCTCCGTGTCAGTGCCCTGGCACCGGTGACAAGCTTCAGCCCAGCTCACCTGTGATGCCAGCTCCATTCCTTCCGTCCACAGAGGCCACGTCCACTAACAGCATCCACCCCCACCAGAATCACTCAGTAAAACCTGGAGCTAAGCACACATCCCAGAGTCCCACTCCCAACGATACCATCTGACCCACAGGGGCTGCTCCAGTCCAGCCATCCCACCCAATTCCTGGAACCAGGAAAAGGCGGGTAAAGAAGGGAACGTCCCCTTTCTCTGGAGTCTCACACATTAATCTTTCAGCCAGAACGTAGATCTGTAGACATATTCAAGGCAGGGGAAGCCATGGAAAGCCGCTTTTACTCTAGGAGAACTTTCATTCCTTCTAAGGGAAGGGGTGTCACGCTGGGGAACAGTCAGCCACTTCCACCCCAGACTGCTCAGTGCCACCCGCGAACGGCCCTCAGCCGACGACTTCTGCAGACGTCTTTGGTTTTACTTTTATTTTCTGTCCCGATGAACACTTTGCAGCATTTACGCGGCCTGGCTTACACTGCATGTTGTGCGTCTGCCGTTCCAACTCGAGCCCACCTCGCTCTCACCGCTGGTCTTCGGGAGCCTCACCACTGCAGGAAAGCCCAGACCCCGAAAAAGGGGAAAAAATGCAGCCAGCAGTGAAGCCCACTGGGGCCAGCCAGGACCTCAGTCAGCTTCAGGCTGCGGGCTCGGTCCGGTGGCTTTTCATCTCTCTGCAAATCACTCAGAAACAGTCCTCACAGTGCAAAACTAAGAGGGAGAGGCATTGTTCAGGCTCCTACTGCTGATTCTACAGCATTTCACAATGAAGAGGATGGCAGATTGGGTACAAGCAGGAAGGGGGATCCCTAAGGCTGGTAAACCCACCAACCTAGTGGGGCAGGCGACAGTCACAGGAAGCCTCTGGGCGCAGCCGTCGCCCTTGGAGGGGACAGCGTCGCCTCTGCTGTCCTTCTCCCACACACTCCACCACACCCACACTTAAAAATAATTGTCTGACCCAGCTATTCCGCTTCTGGGTGTCTTCCACAGAGAACTGAAAGCATCATGCCACAGTGATACGCACACAGTCATGTTTACAGCGGCACAGTTTGTAACAGCAAATCTTGCCCACAAGCCCATCAACCAAGGAATGGACAAAGAAGATGTGGGTGTTCTATGTAGAGGAGTACTACTCAGCTATAAAGAAGGACAAACTTGAGACATTTACAGCTAAATAGAGGCACCCTCAGACTGTACTGTTAAGCAAAATAAATCATACACACGTGTTTAAATACCGCATCGTCTCTTTGGTGTGAGAAATTGAAAGTGTAAATAAGGACCAAAATGTACAATAGATATTGTGAAACAGGAGGAAAAAGGGATCTGGGGAGGAGGGAGGGAGAAAGAAAGGAAGGAGGAAAATGGAAACAAAGCTTTGTAACTAAGGAGGGCACGAGGGGGTGAAAGGAGGGGGGGGTAGGGAGGGGAAAGAGGAACCAAGTTACATCACGCACAGCAACAAACCCCCTGTGATGAAGGGGACCAATCCGTGCATCTAAAGTGCACCAACAAATTAACAATTCTTTAAGACAACAAAGTATACTTAATAACCTAAAAAATAAAACTGTCTGCTCTGGCACTCGGGAGCCTGTATGAGCAGCCAGCGGTGACCGAGGTCCCGTCCTGCACCCGGAGTCCCCGGTAGACGCTCACGAGCGCCACACAGCCGTGAATGGCTGGGATTTGGGGCCGGCGTCTGCACAGTCTGGCATCGGTCGTGCCCTCCTCCTTCTGGGCAGTCTCTTTCCCCGGGCCCTGACCTCTTTCTGAGGCCTGGGGAAGGGAAGGGAGTTTCCTACACCCGGAGCGGATGCCGAGAAACACTCACGTCTTAAAAGAAGAAAAGGAAGATGGAATTCCATTTGTCCAAGTGCGAGGATGTTGGTAAGCATCGCACACGAGCGGGTGAGAGCCAGCCCGGCGATGGGAACACGGATGAAACAGTGAGAAAGCTTCCTTCCAGACCTTCTCAGGTCTCTGATAGTACGCAGCCTCGGTGTGACGAGCCTAGAACTCAATCTGGAACAGTAACACTGAACTCCAAATGCAGCTGCAGGGAAAGTGTCTGGAAGCCGGACCCTCGGGCACTGACTGACGCGGCCCAGCTCTGGATTCCTCCAGCGTGAACACAACCACATCCCTTCTCAGGCCCCGCTGCCCCTGTGCCACCAGCCGGGACACGGGGAGACGGCCAGGCCACCCCTGCAGGTCGGCCGGGGCCACAGGCCTCTTCCGCCAGCCGCAGGCTGTCCTCTGCTGGGAGGACACACCAGACAGAAGCTCAGGTATCATCCCCGGTGCTGCCCCTGGCTACCCAAGGCAAGACACAAGAGCCACACAGGGACGAGGGTCACTGCTCCCACACCTGCGTTAAGAAGGCCTGTGTGCTGACCAGGCAAATAATCACGCACTTGTTTGCTCAGGGAAATTACCCCGCCTTGCTGTGCCCAGCGCTCTGCTAGAACTGAGCTCCCAGTGGACTCAGGTAATCTGCGATGTCCCAGGCCCCAGGCCTAATGATCTGACCCTAACCTGGCGAGCAAAGCTCTTTGTGTGGAGAGGGGAGCTCCCTTCCCAAATAAAACCAAGCAAAACTGATCGGAGTCCCCCACGGCTCAACACACACACACACATGTGCCCACCTGGTACACACTAGGCACTGTGCCTATCCAGGTGACAGCGGGAAGGAAGCTTCAAAAGCTTAGAGAACCTAAGAACCAAGAACTCCGAAACTACAGAAATAAAGCTCCAAAACCAAAACCAGAAAGAACAAAAGAAGCACAGGCCAGGCGGTAAATTCCACGCTGAGACAGGTTTCACTGAGGCCACCTGAGCCTTCCCGAAACTCACATCAGTCGGGGACCAAAGGCAAGGACGTGGGGTTGACCATCAGAGCCCCTCGAATGGATGACTTTTCACAGCTCTGGAGGCCGAGTCCTCAAGCTGGGTGCTCACAGCCTGGCAACCTGCTAAGGTCCCTCTCTGAGGTGTCCTCAAAGGGCAGGGAGGAAACCGGCCCCCCAGTCCTGTTCTGTAAGGACACTGTCCGTCCCAGAGGGAGAGCCCCAGGACTAATCACTGCCTCAAACCGCACCTTTCAGGGCTCCTGGGATTACGTTTCAGCATCTGGATTTGGGACATTCAGGCTCACACACCCAAAATAAGGGGTGCGGGAGATCAAATAGCATTGGGAAGCACACAGAGCTATTTGTCACCATGAGCGTAACCACAAGACAGCATGAATAAACATCCCCGCCTTCCTGTTCCAAAACAAAAATACCGAAGGCACCAGCTGCTCCTCCCGGGAGGGGCCACGCCTCAGATCACGCAGGGTGGCTGGGGACGCCTGGGAGCGGCGCCATTCAAGTCTCAGGTTCGTCACAGCTCGGGTCACCGCTTGGGTCAGCGGTGCGAGAGCAGTGATGTAAATCTGGGCAGAGCCCTGAAACAACAAGACGGGAAACGAGACCAATTTGTACACCACAGAGCACAACGGCACTGGGGGAACGGCTGTGCGCCCCTTATTAACCTCGGGAGCACAGGCGCCCCTGTCGCCCTCTGGCTGGGCCCACAGAGAGCGGTGCTCACGCGGTCCACTTACAATGCTCCCGAGGGTTTCGGTTCCCTGTCACCGAGCCCGTGCTGGTGGGTGCAGCTGGGACCCAACGCCCTTCGTACATCGACCACAGGCAGGGCAGCCACCGCTGCTGCTGCTGCAGAGAAGGGAAGTGAGGGACAATCTGACGTCCACACCGGCGACTCACTCCACCTTCTACCCCCACGAGCACAGCGAAGGCCAGGTCAGGTTTGGCGAGTTTTCGTTTTTATGTTTTTGGTCCTGGGAATCGAACTCCTGACCTCCCACTTGCCAGGCAGGTGTGGTGCCACTGGGTACATTCCCAGCCCACAACTTGGTGAGTCTTTAAGAGGCACCAGCTCTGTCATTGGAGGCCATGGTGTCCCTCGCTGTCACCCAGAGCTCATCCAGAGCAATGCAGCTGGGGGGTGCTTTTCCCGCAGTGTGTCACCCCGTGGCAGGCCTGGCAGGGACTCTGCGGACACCAAAACCTGTTTACGTTGCAGGAAACTTAAAGGACAGGTGTGGGGATCGAGGCCGAGCAAACCCCGATCGTGCCTGAGCTCTTCCAAAAGCACCCAAAAGCTCAGCGGGAAGAGAAAAGAAACACCGTGCTAAAGAGCGCTGGCCATCACGGTGCCGCTCTCACCAGGTCAGTGTGAGCACAGAAGACGGAGAGAAAGGGGCGGGGGCAGGGGCAGGGGCAGGGCGGGGTTAGAGCGTCCACCACGGCTCTTGGGTGACAGCCACTCTGTCCCCAAGCCCACAGTGACATCAGGGATGGAGGCAAAACAGTCACTCAGGGGGAGTCCTTGGAGAACAAAGGGAAGGAGAGGTGGGGTGAAAGACGGGGCCCAGCTGCTGACCAGGCGATGCCCTCGGGTCCCTAAATCATCCCGCCTCACCCCGCCTCCCCTGCCGCGGCGGCCTAACAGCCTGGATGGTGCGGAGCTCCCATTTCACAGATAAGAAAACTGGGGCACAGGTGGTTTAGGAACTCACACAAGTCTGCACAGGTGGGCATCGGCAGAGCAGAAACGGAACCCACGGTGCGGAGGCCAAGCCCAGTGCTCAGAGCCCCCCAGTGGTGGCGGCAAATTAAACAACACCAAGGTTCCATCTCACTCCAGAGAGAATGGCCCTGCCTGTCACCAAATCAGATAGCAGCAGAGGCCGCAGGGTGGGCCGGTGGGGCGCTCTCCTGCCCTGTGGTAGGAGGGGACTGCAGGAGCGCCGTGGAAATCAGTGTGGAGATTCCTTTCCACTCAGCTCTTCCCCTTCCAGGGCTCTTCCCAAAGGCAAGTCCCTCACATGACAATGATCCACACACACCCACGGTCTCCGCAGCACTGCTCACTCTGGAAAGCAGCGTCTGTGTCCATCCCACAGCTGAGCAGTGAGGAAAGTGTGGTGTGTACACACCACGGAGTACTACTCTGCCATAAAGAAGGATAAACATGAGCCATTTGTAGGAAAATGATGCACCCTGAGACCACAGTGAGTGAAATAAATTGGACACATGAGCTTAAATATCACACGGGTTCGCTCATTTGAGAAACCAAAGGACACACAAAGTGAAGAGCAAAATAAAAGACGGATGCACAGAGACAGGGAGCTAGTTCTGCTGCCAATGAGAAACAAGCCGATATGGCGGGGGGAGCAGAGTGAAGAGGAACCAAGACGCGGAGCACAGGTGCGAGCCGCACAGCGAAGGCCGACATCCTGCGCTGCAAACGGCCTCGGAAGGAAACGTTTCAGAAAGGAAGAAGAGATGCCTGGGAGCGGTCTGGTGGAAAGGGAGGAACTGCCAAGTCCTCTGTGTTCCGGGCACAATCATCTCCTCCACCCTTCTTCACAGCGGGCACTAACAAGGGGGGACCATTACAGGGACAACAGACTTGATGGAGATCCTTAGAGGGCCCTTTAACTCGGGGCTAAAATGTGTTAAAATCCACACGTGTTCCTAATCCTCCAGTAAAGGGGTTTCCTTCTTGGTGGTGAGCGTGTACACACACACTCACACACACTCACACACTCACACTCACGGTGCGTGGTGAGGGGCATCTGCGTGTGTGCTCTGCACAGCGCCGAATCCCAGCCCCGTATTTCAGTGGGATTTGTAAAAATACACCTTGCTGTTCTGTCTTACAAGCCTTCGCCTTTGCTCCCGTGCTACTCCTGAGTGTCACTTTGAATAGCTGAAAAATGTGCCATATCTGACTTATCTACCACTGACCATCTAAATTCTTTCAAAGTTTCACCCTCAAAAATAAAAATAATTGATCCCAGCACCCTGAGGGGCTGAGGCAGAAGGCTCAGAAGTTGAGCTCAACTTAGTGACTTGGTGAGACCTGTTCTAAACAAAAAATAAAAATAAAAACACGAGCTGGGGACTCCGCTCAGCACCAAGGCCCTGGTACAACCCCTGTGACCAAAAAAAATAAAAATACAAACACAACGAATATCTTTGTTCCAGCAGCTTCTTTTTTCCTCTTTGGAAGTTTTCTTTAGAATCAACTCCAAGGCGTGGGGTTAGCGGGTCCAAGGGTCCCAGCCTTGGGTGACTTCCCACATCCACAGCCAAGAGAAGTGAGCTAACTAACAGTGCGCCCAGCAGTGCAGGGACACGCGCACTTTCCAAGGCCATCAGCCTGGCTTACATCAGTACCACGTGGCAGCCGCACACTGATGTGCCGGGAGCCTCCTTCCACAGGTGTCTTCCCCCACGGAAATGCACTCCTGCTCTCTGCCCACGAATCTCCCGGGATCTCAGAGCCTCTGTGATTCACGGATTTCAAACAAAGTTGGCTGAACATCTCGGCTGCAGACTGGGCGGCTGGACCACCACATGCTCCCTGGGAGGCCCAGAGCCTAGCTGGCTTCCACAGCCTCCTAAATTTCAACAACTGAGGCACAAACGTCCATCTTGGGAGCAGAAGCATGCAGAAGGATGTTCCCACTGCTGAGTTTTTTTCCCACAAAAGGCAGACCAGGATCACTGTACTCAAAAATTCTAAGAGGAATATTTATACTTATACATCAGTCTTTGTTATCATGATCAGCTTTGTTATCATGATCAGCTGCTCTCTACCAATAAAGAATTACCCCTCCCCCGGATAATGGTGGTTAGCAGGGTTCTCTTGTCTTCTTATCCTCAGATTGTCAGGTGTATGCAAGGTCAGTGGGGAAAAATACCTTCAGATTTTATTTTGCTTAAATAGAAGAAAAACTGAAAACACATACAATAAAACTACACAATCTGTTAGCAAAAAAGAAAAGGTATAAAACACAGTGTAGCCCCACCTCCGGACTCCACCACATGCTGCTCCTGTGTATTTCTATCACCTAAATATTTACTTCCAAACCAGAAACCCTCAGAGAGCCCTCCAAAATATGCAGTCCTGCCCCACCGGCCCACCTCGAGCAAACAAAAATCCTGGAGTCACAACCCGTGAATCCACCCTTTTCTCTTTTCTTTTCTTTTCTTTCTTTCTTTCTTTTTTTTTATTTTCTTTTTTCTATTTAATTGTATAAACAAGGCACACAGGTGATGGGCCTTTTGTTTTTCTTTTGACACAGGCCCTCACTAGGCAGTCTGGACCGGTCCTGAACTCACTTGTAGCCCAAACTGTGGTTTCACTCCAGCAATCCTCTTGCCTCAGCCCCCCAAGTGCTGGGATTACAGGGTGCACCATTATGCCTGGCTGGTTTGTCTTAAGAGTATCAGCCCATCAGAATTTATTATATTTGTGCACTTTTTCTTCTACTTAGTTTATAGAAAATGCATTACCTTTCATTTATTTATTCAACAAATACTTTATTCTATTTTAAAAAACAAAATGGTAAAAAGGATAGAACTGATACAGAATTTCAAACAATAGTAGGGAATTAACACTAATAACTTTTAACTAATTTTACTGCTGAATTATCATTTTAACGAAATCTTAACCAGACCCCGAGGCCAGTACTTATACCAACTGTCACGGTTAGGACAAGCGGAGACCTGGATTTACGTCAGTGCTGTGAAAAGGACTCGGGAAGACGATCCACCCGTCACAACCTCTGTGCGGGGACAGGAGCGCCAGAGACCACCGAGCGCGCCCTGTGTGGGGCACCGGGGCAGCCACCTGAGTCAAACTCATCCTCAGGGCTCCGGGCAGGACTGCGAGGGAATTCTCAGCCTCATGACGAGGATTTTGTTGTTCTTGTCATTTTTTGTCTAGAAAAATAATAAAGTGACCAAAAGCTCCTGTATGTGAATGATACCTCCGTGGGTGATTTGGTTCTTTTTAAACTTTGCTCAAATATTTTGGGACAGTTCTTTTTATGTTTCAAGGAAAACAGAAAGGGCTCACAGAGCGCCCAACTGCTGTCCCCACCAGCTGCACCAGCAGGGTCAGTGCCACATGTTCCTTTATGGCATGGTGCCCACATGAGGTCCGCACACTGTCTTCAGGAAAGCTGTTTTCTGCAATGCTCTGCTCACATGAATTCCTTACTGCACATACAAAGAGAGACCTCGGCAACTTTGCAAACCAGGTCACCGATGTAGAGCCCTCCACAAATCAGGATTTTTACTAACTTTCCCAGGTCTCTCCGGGCAGGTGCTGAGGTGACCCTGGTGGGAGGACCCGGCTTGGGATCACCTAGCAGCAGGTCCTAGGGCCTCGAGGAGCTGACTCAAGCCAGAGGGCTCACCGCCGTCCCCTCCAGGGCTCATGATCGGCACCCAGCTGCAGCCCGTAACTCAGCGCTTCCTTAAAAGTGTCCCACCATAGAGGAGCACAGCCCAGACACAGAGTGAATGACCCTCCTCTGATTACCTTAAAAATCCCCGCGGAGGGGCCGCCTTAGTCCAGTACATGGTTGGAAGATAAACCGTGTATGTGTAAATATGCTCTAATCCCCAAATGGTGTCTCTCTAAAACCTGCATGGAAAACTGACTCTAAGGCCTCGCACCAGGTGTGACGGAAGAATCTGTGCGTTTAACCTGAAAAACTACTGCAGGAAACCCGCACTGCCATGAATCCCCCTCAAAGCCCTCCCCGGCCTGAGCACATTATCCCGTCCTCCCCTCCGGATCCTGCAGCGGCTCGGGAGTCTTCCCCGTCTTTAGGTGCACTGCCGAGCTGCCTGGGACACTGCAGGGATGCAGAATGTTCCATTTCAAGGTCATTCTGACCTCGGGAAGGACACAGGCCATACAGCACCAGATCCGGTAAATAAAGCGGGTAGGGACGCGCAGTCACGTTTGGGGGTTTTTGGTTTTCAGTACTGAGAATCAAACTCAGGGCCTCGAGCTTGCCAGGCAGTGCTGTGCCACCGAGCTGCAGCCCCGGCCCCACGGGCCTGCTTCTGGGAGCTGCCAACGCGCTCGGCAGCAGCACTCACTGTGTTTTCTGATTACACTTTGTAAAGACTCTCAGGAAAGAGGGCTCCGGAGCTGCTCGCATGCCTGTAACTCCAGCACTCGGGAGGCTGAGGCAGCCTGAGTCCGAGGCCAGCCTGAACTACATGGCAAGATTCTGTGTCAAAGGAAACAGAAAAAGAAGGAGGGAGAGAAGGAAGGAAGGAAGGAAGGAAGAAAGAAAGGAAGGAAGAAGGAAGGAAGAAGGAAGGAAGGAAGGAAGGAAGGGTGATGGGGTGAGTGCATCAGAAGTAGGGGATACACTGAAGATTTGTGTCAGTGCCTCTGTCACTGTCCTGTTCCCATCTGCACACGCAGTACTACGCTCAGCATCCCTTAGACTCTGCGTCCCCAGCCAGGTGCACACCCGTCATCCCTGCCCGACGAGCATCATCCACAAAGCAGCCTGGGCCATCTGCAGCGGCAGGGGATGCCCGGCCCGGGGTACCCGAAAGGCATGGCTTGCGTGGCTGACACTGCTGCTGCTCCACTGCTGTGCCCGAGAGGTTGGAACCTTGGTCCTCAGGGAGCTAGGCAAAAGAAACACCCTGCACACTGCAGCTCAGCCTCAGCCCTCAGGGCTCACCTCAGGTGGCCACCACACTCCTCTGAAAACTGCACAGCAAGCACACTGCAACTGCAGAGTTTTCAGTCACCAAAGGTGAGCTCCTGGCTGGGGGCAAAAGATATTCTTTCACAGATCATTTCTCCACCTTGTTACCAAAGAGGTGTAAAGAGCTGGGCATGCCTGTGACCTTAGAACTCTGGGAGGCTGAGGCAGGAGGATGGCAAGTTCCAGCCCAATCTGGGTAATTTAGTAAGACTCTATCTGAAAATAAAGAGGGCCCAGGATTCAAGGTGGAGGCCCCGGGGTTCAGTCTCCAGCACCACACACACACAAGAGAGAGCAACACCCACTAGCATCGTGCCTCCCTCACAGGGATGACGGAGGGATTCCTAGCAAGGAGAAATAGGGGGTCCCACGTTAAAGTGTCACCAATGAGGGACTGGAAGTGTGTAAATCACAGGTGAGAGCCCCAGCCTGACCCTCTCTCTCTGGTTGTCGCTGCCAGCATCCAAGGACACAGCGCTGGCTCCCAGACACATGAGCCACAGCAGGCCGGTGAGACAGCAGTGACCACACCTCTCCAGCCACCTCCTGCCACCAGAGAAGGAACCGTGCTTAGCTTAAGGACCCACACCCAGGAGGCCTTCCTGGTGTCCGCACTGTGCCTGGGGAGATCCTCGCAGGCAACGACCATACACAGCTCTGACGCCACCAGGACCCTGGCTCGACCTGGCCGGCACCTAACCAAGCTCAGGAGGCTCCCACGGGACCAAGACGAACAACACAGGGTGCCAGCTCCCCGGAGCTCTGTGGTCATGAGGCGCTTCAAACGTGGACTGAGGAACAGAAAATTTCAAAATTACAGCTCAGGGAAAGATGTTGTGAAGTCACACTTTCCTTGGGGATCTGAACGTGACACGATGGGACCAGGCCCCACAGCAGGACCCTACGCAGGAAGGATGCTGAGCTTTCAGGGTGCACTTCTCATTACAAGTCTCTGAGAGACCTTGCAGCTTGAGGGGCCCACATTTAGTCTCCCCAGTTAACAGCTACATGGGGAACAGCAGAGCCAAAAGACAAGGCAGCCTGAGCCAACCCTTAGATATCAGGGGACAAAGCAAAGGGCACCGAAATCACTGCAGCAGGAAGTGAACCAAACTGCACAAGATAAGTCGGAAAAAATATGTCAGGAACCTAAGTGCAGCATCTAGCTTTCAGGCTCAAAAAAAACCTCAACTCCAAACGCACACGTAAGAACCTGCTCTCTACCCTGCATTCACCACTGTCCTCACCCTCCAGAGCACAGTTAAAACGAAGCCAGCAACAGAACCGCTCAGGATGACCAGCACGCTCAGGGCCTCGAGTATCGACGGACGTCAGGTGCACATGCCCTGGCTGAGTACTTCCTAGGAAGGTCAAGGCAGCCTCGAGGCTCCTCCCGCAGCCCCTCCCTGCACCCCCTTCCCTACCTCCCAGCAAAAGCCAGCTGCCCTGCTAGGGGCGGAGGCCTCGGAGCGGTGGGGAGGGTCAGCGCCCTGGTCCCCGGGCAGCGGAAGTCCCACAGCCTGGAAAGCTGCGTCTCTGCCAGCTCAGCCCAGCGTGACAATAGTTTTTAAGAGGTATTCCCTCAGAAAGACTGACAAACACAAAGACGGTATTGTCCCTAACAAAACTAAGAGAATCCGTACACAGTAACAGCTTTTCACTGATCATTGTAAATCTTTGGGGAAAAATCAGGCATGACTTTCTCCGGTTCACTCATTTGTTTTTTAGTATGAGTTTAAAATGCACACTTTTTAAATGAATTTAAAAATTTATTTTTTTACACAAATCTCTTTGTACACATAACATAAAATGCACCATTCTAACTGTCTCTAAGTGTGTCGCTCCCAGGGCCTGCTGCAAATGCTCCTTGGTCCCCAGCCGGGACCTCCCCACAGGAGCCACCTGCCACCTCCTTCCTCCCAGAAACCCCTCTCGGCCTCCGCCCTCTGCGAGCTCGGTTCTCCAGGTGCCGGTGCCAAGTGGAATCAGCAGCGGCCCTTGGTGTCTGCTTACATCCTGAGAGTAGCACCCTCCAGCGAATCAGCATCAAGGCTCGTTCGTGGCAGGCGGGCATCCAACTTCCATCCTTTACAGGGCTGAATGCTATTCCATCACATGCGTAATCACATTTTGTTCAGCCATTCACCATCACTGGAGACCGGAGTTACTGCTGGTTTTATTTTGTGAATGATACTGTTACACACAAACACTGGTATGCAAACACATTAGTGTCTCTGCTTTTTGTTTTGTACCAAGAACCAAACCTAGGATCTTGAGCTTGTCAAGAAGGCGCTTATGCCACTAAGCTATAACCCTGGCACCTTTCTGTTTCTTAGACCGGGTCTAGCCATGTAGCCAGGTGGCCTCTAACTCACGGTGACCCTCCCACCTCAGCCTCCCGAGCGCTGGGGTGACAATCATGCACCACCACACCCAGATTCCTGCATTTAATATTTTTAGATACACACCCAGAAGTGGAGCTGCTGGACCAAATGGTAATTCTATATTTAATTTCTGAGGTAGGAGGACCACAGTGTTTTCCACAACAGCTGCACCGTGCTACATTCTTACCAGCACTGTGCAGGGCTCTGATTTCTCCCCACTGCACTTGTGCGGTCTCCGAGGACAGCCGGCCCAGCAGGTGCTTTGGGTCTACACTGATTTCCTAACAGCTGGCAGTCGAGAGGCAGTTTTTGAGTTCCGAGAAGGGAGCTGAGTGAGCAGAAAGGGGGGGGGGGGGTCCAGGACTCAGAGTATGAGACTGACCCCCACATGGCTCCTGCCCCGCCCAGGACCACACTGGTGGCACGGCCCACATGTTCTGATCCAGGAAGGCTCCGTGGCAAGCACCAGTGTGGCCACGTGGGAAATCCAGGATCAAGTCCAGTTTGGAGGAAGTTCCTCATTAAATTTCCTGGATGCAGGGCCTCCTAGCTCACCCTACTGCAATTTTCCAAACCCCTTCTCCGCCTGAGCTCATCCTGCCCCCTGAGGCTGCCCGGGAAAACGTCCTTGGCAAAGCTTGGCCCCTCTGTTAACTGTGCTCCAGTTCCCAGGAAAAAACCCACACCCCGGTCCCCCACTGCCCAGTACCACGCTATGCCAGGGATGGCCCAGCCCGGCCAGGACACTGCCTCTCGGGGTTCCCCTGTCCCAAACCCTGCAGCACCTCCTGGGCTCCTCCACAAGTGGAAGGTCACTTGCCGGGACTCACTGAAAGCCCTGTGGCCAGGCCACCCTGCCTGTACCCGCCGGCACCAAACCCCTCCTTGTGTGGCTTCGGTGAGTGCAGTCACAGCTCAAGCCAAGCGCTCTGCCACC